GCATTGAATTCCCCCGTAATCTGGCCGACGATGAGCTAGGAGTTGCTGAACACCCGGATGTGGCTGACTCCGATGTCCTTGGCGAGGTGGAGCCCTGCTATCAATGCCTCATATTTGGCCTCATTGTTACTGGCATTAAACAAGAAACGGAGAGCACATTTGAAATAGCCACCCTCAGGGGCGGTAAGGATGAGGCCAGCCCCACTACCTTCCCTGCAGGATGATCCGTCCATGTTGAGAGTCCATGAATGCGGGTCTTTTGGATCGGTAAGGGTTGGTGGGGGTAGGGGCGCAACGGTTGGGGTAGGATTAGTGAATTCCAGGATGAAATCCGCGACAGCCTGTCCCTTAATTGCTGTTCGAGGCTGGTAGGAGATGTCAAACTGACTGAGTTCCACTGACCACTGCATGAGTCTGCTGGAAAGTTCTAGTTGTTACATGACCTTCTTCAAGGGTTGGTCGGTGAGAACCACTATAGAATGGGCCTGGAAGTACGGACGGAGCCGTCTGGAGGCGGTGACCAAGGCCAAGGACAATTTTTCTAATAGCGGGTAATTCTGCTCTACTCCCCTGAGAGCCCGACTGATGTAATAGACCGGCCGTTAGACGGAGTCGTCTTCCCTGATAAGAGCTGCACTGACTGCGGTGCTTGAGACGGCTAAATAGAGGAAGAGGGGCTTACCCGTAATTGCTTGTGAAAGGAGGGGGGATTTGCCATGAACTGTTTCAACTGCTGAAAAGCTTCTTTAGATTCAGTTGTCCATTCAAAAGTTTGCCGAAGAACTTTGAAGAATGGTAGGCACTTATCTGTTGCGCGGGAAATGAAACGGTTGAGGGCCGCAACTCGGCCAGTGAGCCTTTGAACCTCCTTAACTGTTCTGGGTGACTGCATCTCAATCAAGGCCTTGATCTTTTCAGGGTTAGCTTCAATGCCCCACTGACTGACCATAAAACCCAGAAACTTCCCAGATCCTATGCCGAAGGCGCACTTCTCTGGGTTGAGCTTCATTTGGTACTTGCGTAGGGTGGCGACGGGTCTCTCGCAGGTCGGACAAATGATCAGTAGAGAGTTTGCTCTTAACTAGCATGTTGTCGACGTAGACTTCCATATTTCGACCTATCTTATGATGGAAAACGGCATTGACCAACCGTTGATAGGTGGCCCCAGCATTCTTCAGTCCGAATGGCATCACACGGTAGTGGTAGGTACCTCGGTCGATAATGAAGGATGTATGTTCCCGATCGGACGGGTGCATCAGGATTTGGTTGTACCCAGAGAAAGCATCCATGAAGCTGAGCATTTGATGACCGGCTGTGGCGTCCACCAGCAGATCTATGCAGGGAAGAGGATAACTGTCTTTGGGACAAGCGCAGTTTAGGTCAGAGTAATCGACACATAGTCGCCATTTGCCATTGTTCTTGCGGACTAGGACCACGTTTGACAACCACTTAGGGTAATCCACGTTTCTGATGAATTGGGCCTCAAGAAGCTTGTCAACCTCTGCGGCTATAAGTGTATTGCGCTTTGGATGGAAGATGCGCTGCTTCTGGCGGTAAGGTCGGAAATGGGGTTCGATGTTGAGGCGGTGAGTTATGAAAGAGGGGTCAATGCCCGGCATGTCTGAATGGGTCCAGGCAAATACATCATTGTGCTCGATCAGAAGGGCGGTAAGGTCGGCCTTAGCTTGGGGGGATAGTTGGCTGCCGATCTTAGCAGTCTTCAGAGGGTTGGTGGGATCGATGGGAACCTCAACGAGCTCCTCAACCGGTTCTCCTCTAACCAGCTCGTTCTCATCTCGGACGTCAAGTCCTTCAATGATCATGGCCTCCTTCAGCTTGACTTCTTTGAGTGAGGCGACATAACATTCCCTGGCTACAGTCTGTTCTCCCTTTACTATCCCGATGCCCAGGTCGGTAGGGAACTTTATGGCGAGGTGGTAGGTTGAAGTGATAGCTTGGAAAGCGTTGAGGGCGGTGCGGCCAAGGATGATGTTGTAGGCAGAGGGACAGTCGACCACAAGGAAAGTGACCAACTTGGTAGTCTGCCGTGGGTATTCGCCGATGGTGAGGGGGAGATCGATGGAGCCGATGGAGGTCACCCGGTCGCCAGTGAAACCGACCAAAGGCGTTTGGAAAGGAGACAGGCTTTCCTCCCCAATCTTGAGCTGGCGGAAGCAGTTGAGGAATATGATGTCAGAAGAACTGCCGTTATCGATGAAAACCCGTCTGACCTTATAGTTGGAGAGGAGGGCAGAAATGACGAGAGGGTTATCATGAGGATAACGGATGCCTGTACAGTCGGCGTCCGTGAAGGTGATAGGCTCTGTCCAGTGCTTGGGCTGTTTGGAGGGTCGGTCTACCGGGGCAACTGCTCTATCCGAGCCTTGCCTTATCTTCCTGAGTTCTGCCCTCTGAGCGGAACGGGATGGTCCGCCATAAGCAAGGCCACCTGAAATGACTCGAATTTCACCAACTGGCGGAGGGGGATTACCTAGCGGCCAAGGCTGTTGTGGGGGGCGATCATGGCCTTGGTTAGGTTGAGCGGGCTGCCGGGGTGGGGTACGCCAGTGGTTGTTTCTGAGGGGCTCGGTTCTTTGCCTCTGTTGTGGGCGGGTGTCCGTGAACCGGCTGAGATGCCCTTGACAAATGAGGGTCTCGACCTGATCCTTGAGGTTGATGCAGTCATTAGTGTTATGGCCATGGTCTTGGTGAAAACGACAATATTTGGACTGGTCTTTCCGATTGGAAGGGGTCCGTGAGGGTAGGGGCCATTTAAGGGGGTAGTCCCGTTGGCTCTGGTGGAGGACTTATTCCATAGGAGAGTTAAGGGGTGTGTACCGCTCGAACCGACCGGGCAGTCGGGCGAGTGTCGACCGGTCATTGCGAGGAGGTTGGTCGGTATAATGGGGTGTTTGGCTGTTATACTGGGTGTTTCTGGGTTCTGAGTATTTTCTCTTTTCTCTGGGGGTCGGGTTTTTAGATATGAGATCCTGTCGAGCGGCTAGTGAATCTTCGGCATTCATGTATTTCTGGGCTTTGGAGAGTAGGGCTGCCATGGAGGTCAGGGGGTTTTTGGAGAGGAAGAAGAGGAAATCGGACGATCGTAGCCCGGCCACGAAAGCCGTGAGGATGACCTTGTCGTCGTTCTCCGTTACTTGCAGGGCTTCGGTGTTGAAGCGAGTAACGAAGTTGCGCAGCGACTCCCCCTCGATCTGACGGATGTTGAGGAGTTGGGTTGCAGGGCGGTGTTGGCGCTGGGCTCCAATGTAATGGCTAAGGAAGGAGTCGTTGAGATGCTGAAAAGTGGAGACAGAGTCTGCTGGTAACTGGCTGAACCACAGTCGAGCTGACCCCTTCAGTGTCACGGGGAAAGCCCGACACATGATCTCGTCAGGGAAGGCATGGAGGATCATGAGGGTACGGTAGGTCTCCAGATGATCGACTGGGTCCGTCGTACCGTCAAAAGAGTCAATGGTGGGCATTTTGAACTTGGCGGGCAGAGGTTTGTCCCGGATGGAGGCAACAAATGGTGAGCTTGCCGTGGTAGAGGGTTTATGCTGAATGTTCTGCATGACCCCTTGGAGCTGGAGCTTCATTGCTCGGAGTTCAGCGTCCTAGAGGGGAATGTGGTCACCATGGTTAGTCAATAGGGGCTGGACGTTGCTGGCTTCCCCTTCAGGAGCGGGTGCCACGATCGAAGGGTGTAGGGGGGGGAGGTGGTAGATTTATATGCGGGGGAGGAGGTTGCAAACTTTCCAAGTTGGGTGGATAGGGTTGCGGAACAGTATGGCTCAGGGCTCTTTCTTGGTTAGGTGGAATATCTAGAGGTGGTGGAGGAGGCATCAGAAGGTTTCTTTGGAGTAAAGCATTTATCAGGACCTGGTTTTGTTCGGCCATGCGATTAATGCTGTTGGTAAGCTCAACGATATACTGTGGTGGGTTGTTTGGATTGGGAGGGTCGATTTGATGGTCGACAGCATTATGGTGAGAAGCCATGGATCTAGTTGTGACCATACACTTGGATGGATAGGAGGAAAAGGTTGTCAGGACAGGGTCTCCGGCGACAATGAGCACAACTGACGTCCGGATAAGAACCACTTCCCACAGACGGCGCCAACTGATGATACAGCTTGTCCTAGTGAATGGATCGGACTGGTCCAAGCTCCTCAAGCCCAGGTCCAAATGATCAAGCTCACCGGATAACCTGCAAACAAGTTTAACGGGGAACGGGGTAGTCCCCCAGTGAACCCTCCGACGAGCAAGTTAGGAAGGGAAGTAGAGTATAGAGGGAGAGATTAGAGATAGAAAAGCTTAACCTTCTTCTTGTCTTCAATGTTTGCTTATATCCTTTGGTAATCATTTCGCTGTCCCTTCCGACCTGCCCTCCTCACCGAAAGACTATGCTGTAGCTTACCTTGTTCAGGGTAAGGGGGTCCTGTTCCGACGGAGAGGTGTTGTCATAATAAATGCTGTGATGGGCTGCATTAATAGTGATGTGCAGTGGCAATAACTTTGTAGATCTTTGTCTGCTGATGTGGCTCGTCTTTCTCCTACCGTGTGTCTGAATGTCATTGGCTCTTTATGCCATGTTGGACTCCAGCTGTCCTGGACCTCACCAGCTGGGTTATGCATTGGGCTCCAAGTGATGGGCTTGGATTGTCCATAGGTGATTCATGGCCTTTATGGGCTTATACACGTCAGATATAAATTATTCTAACTCTTTCATCAAATTTTCGTGAAAATCTTTCTAAAAATTCTCTTCATGTCTCAAGTTTTCCTTTTTATCAAATTTGATGAAAAAAAATATATCTTTAATATCTTTTTAAATTTTTATCAAATTCAAATTTGATAATTTCTAAATTTGATATTTAAAAACAAAGTTTCTCTTATAGATCAAATAAATATCAACAATGATAGAGACCACTAATTTTGGAGCTCTAAAAAGATCACTAATGACATGACACTCAATATTTTGAATTTACATTATATATCTTTAGAGTAAAATAATTAAATAAATAATTTTGTTTATTATTTATACGTGAATGGCCTTAATTTTCAACAGTTTTGCTAGGTTGCTCCTATTGGCTTGAAAGTGTTGGCATCCATGTTGTAGCCTTTGGGCCAGATCCCTCAACCATGCGTGAAACCCACGAGTTTACAAAATAAAGAAAGAGGAGAGAGAGAGAGAGAGGAACACGATCTTGGGTTGGGTTGCTCTGAAGTCGAGCGACCTTGCGTCGAGCGACCAACTTGAGTGTTCACCGACGACGACGATGACCACCGACTTGGGTGTTCACCGACGACCGCCACTGACCACCGTGCACCTCTCTTGCTGTTGAGCATTACAACAACATTCATAGGAGATTGGCAATGTAAGTAAAGGTTGAATCTTGCTGATTTTGTTGATTTTGGCAAAGTAAAGATTGGCTTTGAATGTGTTTTTTCTGGCAACATTTATAAGAGCATTACAACATTCATTAGAGTTCATTGATTTTGCTTATTTTGCCACAAAAAAACACATTAGAGTTCATTGTGAATCTTGCTGATAGAGGTTGAATAGCGCTTGTGTTCTGATTTCTAGTTTGAATTTTGCTGATAATGATTCATTGTGATTCATCACTCTGTTCATTCAATTGCAAAAGGATTCATTGAGATTGGCTTTGTGTTTTTTTTTTTTATTTGGTTGTGTGGCCAATTTTTTTTGTGTTGTTGCATTCTAGGTGTTTGTTGAAAGTCCACATAGAAAGAATAAGGCTTTGTAGCTCGAATTTGATACGGTATTCTAGGTGTTTTTTGAAAGTCCACATAGAAAAACAGTTTGTATGATTTTGGACTGAATGTAGGGACTGAATTTTAGACTGAAACAGTTTGCATGATATTCAGATACTTTGGGTGGGTCCGAGAGAGAGAGAGAGAGATAGAGAGCAGAGAAAAGCTGTATGTGCACGTCAGGTCCAAAATCGGGGAGAGAGGGTGCTGAAATTAGGGCCATTCGGGGTTAAAATACGAGCTACAAAGCTTTATTCAATTTTCGGACTTCCCCTTGGCCTTAGAAAATTTCAGGGCGGGCCCTGATTATGCAGAGCACACCAGAGACAACTCATGAGCACACATTGCAAAAAAAATAAAATAAATCAACAAACTATACATAAACATAATATGAACTCATTATTTATAAATAACCATTTAATACAAAACATGTAAAATTTCACATGTATTTATTAATATGACATCATTACCAGATCTACTGTTTAAGAAGTTTAAATTATTTTGTTTGGTTAATAGTTTTGAAAAATAGTTTTTGAAAATTATCATTTATAGAGTTGCCACTACATACACCACTATGCCATAATAATACCACAGCCACTCTTAACTAATGTAATTAATATCATAAATTATCGTAGAATCTTAACATTTTGGATTGTGATTCACCACAACAAATCATAACTTTTATCAGACTCATAACTATATACGTTAAAATCATAACATTTTAAATTGTGGTAACAACTCATAAATTTTACCAAAAAAGTCAGAACAAATCATAGCTTTTATCAGTATGAATTACGAATTTTCAATTTAAAATCATAACATTATAGATTATAAATGATTCACCACAATGACAAGGAGAAAATGAACGCTTCGAAGAAGGCGTGGAAGGAGAGGTAGAAATACCAAATCCAGAGGATAATGTGGTAACACATCCTGTGGAAACTCCTATATTGTCAGAACCCATGGTCGAGCAGACCAGTACTTCTGGACAAGAACCATATGTTCATATTATTGGACAAAACCAAGGAATTGGACCGTCCACTATGCCAACAAATCCATGGGATGGTTTAGTGAATGCCATGGGACAACAACTAATGAACACAATGGAAAGGTGGGCAACATCCTTTTTGGATCGAATGAATAACCATCTGGAAAATTTGACTGACCCGACCTAATCCATTCGCTTTTAAGCGGTTTCAATAGTATGGGTGAACAGATACAAATGAAGATTTTTCAAATCCTCCTATATTCGGACGGATGGTGGATGAGAGGTCACCCAACCCAACCTGATCTGCCCACTCCCTTTAAAAAAATGATTTTATATTTTTATGTTTTGTGTGTTAAAAAAATATTTTATTTAATAATAATATTAGCTACTTATGAAATATGAATATTTTTCTTTTATTTTTATTATAAAAAATGAAGAATAAAAACTTTTGGACTCAAATACTCCGCAAAATAGTAAAAAGTTACTCTAAAATAGTTTTAAAAAAAACATATAAAATAAGTTCAAATCGCCAAATCGATCTACATCTATCATTACTCGCATGGCTGCTTAATATGCATCCGCTAATTAAGTGGACGGATGCGGATTATTTTTTTCAATCCACTTAAGTTCGAACGGATGATGAAAGGAAGACCACTCAACTTAACTCGATCCGCGAGCACTCCTGATATTGTTAAATTGATTGTATAATCAATTGGCGTAAAGAGTAATGGATTGTGCATTCAATTTGTTAATAATTTTTATCTTTAATGTTCTCCAATTAACAAGGAAGCAAGTAACTAGGGCCTTAGTCTTAATGATTTTGTAGCATCACTTAGTAGTATCATGTTGCAGGTTCAATTTCGATGGAGATGAGTTTGATACCCTTATTTCTCTAATATTGTATTAAGTGATTGTTGGCCTTTGATGGGTTTTTAAATTTTTTTTTTTATTATTATTATTATTTTTTTTGGGGTGATTGTTGGGTTAGGTTAGATGATTTCTTTGTGTTAAATGTTAGGCGTGTAGATATGTATTGTTGGACTACAATCGTCAAGTTTGATATAATTATTTCATATTTGTAATTAATATCTTATCTATTTGCAAAAAACGAAAAATAAAACTAACAAGTATTAGACAATTTAATAATTAAGGGTTTGAATTAAGTTTGGTGCTTGATAAAGTTGAAAATTGAAAACTAGAGACAAAAAATTAAGTACAGAAAATTGAATGCTGAATTTTTTAAGCTGAAAAGTTGTTTGATAAAAATTTAAATGCTGAACTAAAAATAAGTTGTTTGATATTGTAAACAAAAATCCAGTTTAGACCCAATTGATAGTAACTGATCGACAAACTTAAATAGATTTTAAATAAACACAAAAAGGTCAGACTTTGTGGTTGAGTCCTATGCCTTAAATAGATTAAGGACTTTCCTGGAGGTAATTAAGTAAAGAAGGAATGGAACAGAACATAATATGTATTAATTCAAATAAATTTTCACTTGTCACTAGTTATAAGAACTTAAGCGAGAACAAAAAATTGAATAAATACAGCAACCGACAGAAAGAAGAGAAAGAGGTGGGGGAGTGGGGGGGTTGGAAAAGCTGCTAGTTTAATCTACTCCTAAAATGGGTAATCTAGAACTACTCCTAAATAACTTTTCACGAGGTGGTTGATGGTTGATGATTCCTTGATCCTCATTCCAACTTCCTTTTATAGTTGACTCTTGGCCTGTCTCTTAATTTTGATCTTCCTTAATTTTCTGCCTCTCTTCATGTTTATCCCTCTATTTTAGGAGCTGTTTTTTGATTTCTTTTCTAGATTCTTAGTTATCATCTTTTGTAGCCTTCTCTTTTCAGTCCAACTTTATGTAGCGTCAGCTATTTTAGCCATCCTTGCTACGTCATCGCTATGACCTGTCGATGGAAGATTCCTGAATTTTAGTACCAATAATGCCCCCCTTCATTCAAGGTAAAAAGAAAATCTTTTGCCTTGAATGATGTTGGTCTTGAATTTTGTTTGCTTCTGGGCCTAGTGTTTTTATTTTTATTATTATTTTTTTATATTTTTTAACTTCTTTGGGCCACGTAGCAGTTCACAGGCCCATTAGGATTTTAGTTTCCCTATTTTTATTTCTTTATTTTGGGCCCCACGCGAAGGTACTTAAAGTTTTTCAAATTCTCCCTCTTTGTTTGCAAACTTGTCCTCTTCCTCTGAAACCAAGACACCCGAACTTTCTTAGCCATGTCTTCGGACTCAGATTCTAACCTAGTTCGTTGATTCCCACAAGAGATCATTCAACTTATCGAGAGCAACAAGTTCGACTGCCATATCACAACCAGTCTTACTGCCGGTGCTGGGGAACTTGGCCCCTGTGTTTTGAACACTTTTCCAAATGGTCTGACTCCATACTACCCCATTGCTAATGGTGAGACCCTTCTACTAGACCAATCTTCCCTTTCGTGGCTGAACTGGTTGACGGGCCCTAGATCATGGCCCAAACCCACTAATGCCTGGATAACTTGGGTAAAGAGGATGACTGCTTTTGAGGGGCACATGTGGCATAATTTGGGTATTTACCACACCATTCAATTGTCTACCATCTCCTTTAAGGTAGACCCCTGGCTGATTGGTGCATCCATATGTTTTTGGTCCACATCTTGCAATTCTCTGAAGCTTAAATCTGGTATGGCCTCTCCCACAATCCTTGATATTATACACTTGACTGGCCTTCCTTCTTATGGCCAGGACATCCATGCCATTTTGCCAGCCCCTGTGGTTAAGCATGATGTCAAACTAGGCAATTATGGCAAATTCATTTCGGATCACTCAAAGAAAACTAGCATTCCTTCAGTTACTGAGAAAATTGCTTTTTATTTGTATTGGTTGTGCCAATTTCTTTTTTGTGTAGGTGGCCTTAGAATTACCAAGGAATACCTCACTCTTGCCCTCTTAATCCAAGAGGGCAGACAACTGGCTTTTGCCTGTTTTCTCTTGGCCACCATGTACAGAGGTCTTTTTTCTCTCCATGACAAAAGAATAAGTCATAGTGTAGGGGGCCCTTTTTGGCTTTTCCAAGCCTGACTTCTTGCTTATTTTCTAGAGATCAAATCAAATAGGAGAATGGATTATACACCCAAGTGTGAAACCTATACTGAGTTCTTTATTTCCCATCGTCCTTCTCCTACTGTTAGTTTTGCCTAATACTTCTCTACTCTTTTGAACATTTCCATCGACAGGATTTCTTCCCTTCCTTTTCAATCCTTCCTCTTTTCTTCTGCCTCTTTATCTTACATGTATGCTGATCCTACCACTTTGAATGATGACCTTAGGCAAGCTCAAAAGACAGTCTGGAGCATTTGCCTCACCTCTAGGTACATCTTGGTTGGACGCTTTCTTTCCAATAACAGGCACTCTACTTGTGGTTTTGAGAGTTACAACCCTAGTCAATGGGCCAGGCAATTTGGCCTTATCCAAAGCATTCCTCTCCCTTATGTCCATCCTACTATTCACTAGTATGTGAATGCCAAGGTCCAAATCACTAAACAGCCTTCTGCTTATGCTATTTTGGCAGAAAACCAAAAGCTTTTGCATAAGCCTATTTTCTTTGCTTTTGTG